GTTGTGCCCTCAGAAGAATATGTCCCTTGTCATGGCAGTCCTCATGGGGTCATTATCCAGGAGGGGTTGCTTTCCCATGGATTATTGATAACTTGTCTAGATGGACTTCTGAGCATCCCTGTCCATCCCTCAGGGACTGTAACTTAGCTAACATTGCTGCTTTTTCCTCTTCTCTCCCTCTGTCTTGGTGGTGTCAGTGCAGCAGCTGCTAGAAGATGGTGCAGATCCCTGTGCAGCTGATGACAAGGGCCGCACAGCTCTCCATTTTGCCTCCTGCAATGGCAATGACCAGATTGGTGAGTTGTGGGGAGGGAGGAGGAGGGAGCAGGGCCATGCAAGTAGCGTCTCTCTACAGCTGCTGTCTCCACAGTCTTGGGATACCCAGTTGTACTGGATATAAAAAAGATGTAGCATCACAGTGCCTGGCCATTCTCTCTCCCTTAGCCTATGGAACTGGTTCTGCCAGCCCAGGGAACGGGTATACCTGGGGAAAGAATATGATTGACTCTAAGGATGAAGGGAAGTCTCCAACTGGGAGACTGCTCCCGGAGACAGGGCTCACGAATTGGAGATATTCAGGGAACATTTCCTCAGTGCTGGCTGCAGCAGCAAGAATGCTTCTTCTAGGAATCTTTCTTCTTTTTGTCATGGTATTGCTGCCAAATAGTGAACTATAGTGAACTATGTGTATGTACTGGGGTAATCACCACTAGATCATGACAGAGAATATTTTCAGCACCCCAGAACCCTCCAGCATTCCCTTGCAGTCCTTACCTCCATCTGGACCTTGTCCACCATGGACTAGTTTTTCCTGGTTTTGAATTTCACATAAATGGAAGCATATATGATGTACTCCTTTATGCATACTCCTTCACTCAACATTATAGCCATGAGGTTCATCCATGAATGTTGTATGTATCATTCTGGGGGATTGGTTCCAGGACCCCACTTGAATATTGAACTCCATGGATATACTGAAGTTCCTTAAAGTCAGCCTTCCACATCTGTGAATTCCATGTGCAGGGTTGGACTGAATCTGCAGATGTGGAAACCGCACATGAGTGGAGGAGGATAGATTGTAGCTTGTTCTTTCTTCTGCTCATTAGTATTTCGTGGTGATATATCCCAATTTACCCATTTTAGGACATTTGTGTTATTTATAGGTTTTTTGTTTTTTTTTTTTTTTTGAGACAGTCTTACTATGTCACCCTCAGTAGAGTACTGTGGCAATTCACAGCAACCTCCAACTCTTGGGCTCAAGCGATTCTCTTGCCCCAGCCTCCCAAGTAGCTAAGACTACAGGTGCCCACCACAACACCCAGCTATTTTTTTGTTGCAGTTGTCATTGTTGTTTAGCAGGCCCAGGCCAGGTTTGAGCCTGCTAGCCCCGGTGTATGTGGCTGGCGCCCTAACCATTGAGCTACAGGTGCCGAGCCTATTTACAAGTTTTAGTTATGAATGAAGCTGCTGTGAATATTGTTATATGTGGGATTTCATGACTATAAGCAGTCATCTATGTGGAGTGTAAACCTAGGAATGGATTTTTGGGTCCCTAGGGTACACATATATTTAACTTTGGTGGATACTACCAAACCACTTCCCACACTCCTATGAGCAATGTAACAGAGTTCTACATTTTTCCATATCCTTGCCAACGCTTGATATTGTCTCTTTTTAATTTTAGCAATTCTGGTGTAGTGATATCTCACTGTGGTTTAATTTGCATTTATCTGATGGCCAGTGAAGTTGAGCACCTCTTCATGTACGTGTATTTACTGGCCACTTTTGTTTTGTTTAGTTTTTTGAGACAGGGACTCGCTCTATTGCCTGGACTAGAAAGCAATGGCATCATCATAGCTCGCTGCAACCTCAAACTCCTGGGATCAAGTAATCCTCCTGTTTCAGCTTCCCAAGTGGCTAGGACTACAGGTGCATGCCACCATGCCTGGCTAATTTTTCTATTTTTTTTTTTTTTTTTTTTTTTAGATGGGGTCTTGCTATGTTGTTTAGGCTGATCTTGAACTCCTGACCTCAGAGAGCCTCAGGCTGTCCCCCTGGGTAGAGTGCAATGGCATCACAGCTCACAGCAACCTCCAACTCCTGGGCTCAAGTGAGTCTCCTGCCTCAGCCTCCCAAGTAGCTGGGACCACAGGCGCCTGCTACAACGCCTAGCTATTTTTTGGTTGCAGCCATCATTGTTGTTTGGTGGGCCCAGGCTGGATTCGAACCCACCACCTTAGGTGTATGTGGCTGGCGCCTTAGCCACTTGAGCCACAGGCGCCAAGCCTGAACCCAGGAGTTTGAAGTTGCTGTGAGCTGGGCTGATACCATGGCACTCTAGCCTGGGGCAACAGAGTGAGATTCTGTCTCAAAAAACAAAACAAAACAAAACAAAACAAAACACCTTAACATCCGAGTCCCATCACACATGTATAAGGCCAGGGTACCCTGCCAGCTTTCTCAACTCCTTGCCCTCAGTGTCCTGCACATGAACCTTTCCCAGAGAGTGAATGAGTAAATGAATGAACAAGTGTATGGAAGGCAAGTCTGCTCAGAATATTTTTCAATGTCCATTCCACTGTGTTAATTGAGGACATTGCCTTTGCAGAGAAAGATTTTGAGAATGGCCTCCAGAACATATACAGCCTTTATGAACAAGTGAGCTACAACTATTTCATCACATTGGGCCTTAATCTCCTCCTCAAAGGCTTCTCTTTCTGCCAAGTTTGGCTCAATAAACACAAGGAATATAGGGTGCATTAAATGTCTGGTTTCCCCTCTCCAGCCCCCTCCACCCTCACCTGGGTCATGTCTCACCCATTCTAGTGCCCTCTCTGGAATTGGGTTCCCTGGCTAGAGACTGAATTCCTTGTTCCCCCTTGGGCCCTAGAGGAGGGGGAATGGAGGCTGACTGTTCACTCTCTCCAGCTACCTTGCTTTGTCCTGTACCATAATAAAGAGAATTAGTTCTCCTAAAAAGAAAAAAAAAATAGCCAAGCATTGTGGTGGGCTCCTGTAGTCCCAATTACTTGGGACTTGAGGTATGACGCCACAGCACTCTACTAAGGGTGACAAAATGAGACTCTGTCTCAAGAAATAATAATAATAAAATAAAAATAAAAATAGAGAAACTAGCCATTATTATGGTAGACACCATAATCAGCTACTTGGAAGGCTGAGGCAAGAGGATTGCTCAAGCCCAAGAGTTTGAGGTTGCTGTGAGCTATGATGCCACAGTACTCTACCCACGGTTAAAGAGTGAGACTCTGTCTCAAAAAGAAAAAAAAATTAGAAATTAAAAAAAAATCACAAGTGGGGTGGTGCCTGTGGCTCACTGTGTAGGGTGCCGGCCCCATATACCAAGGGTGGCGGGTTCAAACCTGGCCCCGGCCAAACTGCAACAAAAAAATAGCTGGGCATTATGTCAAGTGCCTGTAGTCCCAGCTACTTGGGAGGCTGAGGCAAGAGAAGAGCCTAAGCCCAGGAGTTGGAGGTTGCTGTGAGCTGTGACGCCACGGCACTCTACCCAGGGCGATAAAGTGAGACCCTGTTTCTGCAAAAAAAAAAAAAAAAAAGACAAGTGAATGGAACAGTATAGGTGACCATGTTTGCATTCTGTGTTTTACACTTTGCATGGGCCTTGGTAGCTTGGTTATGGGTACAAGGTCAAGGTGATGGAAGCCTCCAACAGTTTCTCTTGGGTTTTCCTATTTCCAGTACAGCTGCTTCTAGACCATGGGGCTGATCCTAACCAACGAGACGGGCTAGGAAATACACCACTGCACCTGGGTAAGTGCCTCAGAAGTCACCAAGGCAGACTTTTCTACAGTGAAAGCAGCCTCCTTAGATGGAGAACTTGGAGTCCTACCGGCTCCTAGCAATATCTCCCAGTGCCCAAGGAGATCTTGAGCTCCCCCCAACCTGTGTTCCATGGACTTTACAGTTACTGAGCATTTGGCTGTGCTCTTGGCAGAACTGATTTAGCAACCAAGGCTGGCTCAGCGGCACTTCTGCTGGGGAGGTGTGATGTGAGACCTTTGGCTGGTTCTAGCTCTGTACTGACTCACACCATGGCTTGTACAGGGGCAGGCCCTGTCTCCAGGCTGAACAGGGAAGGAGTTGGATTTGATTGCTGACTCCTACCTAGGTGCTGCCTTGGTGATACCTTTTTAGGAGGCATAATTTGGCACAGGCATACTCAGAGACACAGCCCTGCCCCTTGCAATGGCCACATAGGCCAGGCCCAGTGGCCCTGGATTCTTATGTCTTTGTTCTTTTTTCTCAGCTGCCTGCACCAACCATGTCCCTGTCATTACTACACTGCTACGAGGAGGTATGTAATCCCTTCCCTTTCCCCTTCTCTCTCCTCTCTCTCACCCTCACCCCCAGCATGCTCACCTCTGCCTGTACCTGCAGGGGCCCGTGTAGATGCCCTGGACCGAGCTGGCCGCACACCCCTACACCTGGCCAAGTCAAAGTTGAACATCCTTCAGGAAGGCCACTCCCAGTGCCTAGAAGTTGTACAGCTGGAAGTGAAGCAGGTAAGAACCCTCCTATGCTGAGCCCACAGCACCAATTCTGTCCTGACCACAGACATACCTGCCTTTAGCCCAGGACTCCTGGGTTATTTCACACTGACCCTACTGGGCACCTGTTCCAGTGGCCTCCCCGCCCCCACACCATTTTTAAGAGATTATGTCTTAGTCTTACTGATGCTGGAGTGTGACAGTGTGACCATAGCTCACTGCAGCCCCAAATTCTTGGGCTCAATTGATCCTCCCACTTCAGCCTCCTGAGTAGCTGGGACTACAAGTGCCCACCACCATTTCTAGCTAATTAGAAAAATTTTTTTGGAGAGATGGAGTCTCACTGTGTTATCCAGGCTGTTCTTGAACCCTCAGACTCCCAGAGTGCTGGGATTACAGGCAGAAGCACCCACACCTGACCCAGTGTGCCTTGGCAGCAGTAGCAGGCCTCTGCTTTCTGGCTGGCTCAGCTAATCATCTCATTCCAGATCATCCACATGCTGAGGGAGTACCTGGAGCGCCTAGGGCAGCACAAACAGAAAGAACGGCTGGATGACCTCTGTACCCGCCTTCAGATGACAAGCACCAAAGAGCAGGTAAGCCTCAGTCATGGGTCAGACCCAGGGCCTGGAAGGAGCCACAGGGCCAGTCCATCTCTGCTCTGATGCCACCAGACACTCATATCGGAAAGAGGTTGGGACTGTAGGGTTGCAGCCCACTGTGGCCCTCAGTACCTCTGTCCACTTCCTTCGTATGGCTAGTGGCTAGTGTATGCTAATGGCTCTCCTCTTGGGACAGCCCCCCAAGTCCACCTGGTGTCAAGGATTAACCCTTGGTCAGCTATGCCATAGAGAGAAGTCACCATGGGCTCTGGGAGGAGAGACATAACTGCATTCTGTGCCTGTAGTATTGGGGAGGAGACCTGGGGGCTCCTACACCCGGTAATAGAGCCTTGGTTTCATTCTATAGGTGGATGAAGTGACTGATCTCCTGGCCAGCTTCACCTCCCTCAGTTTGCAGATGCAGAACATGGAGAAGAGGTAGCAAGAAAGGCTCCCTGCCTTCTTGTTCTGCCTCTGCCCTCCTGCTTCCACTGCTCTCTCATTATAAAGAAAAAGCCCAACGTCTGGGACTTTGGAGCTATACTTATACTTGTTTGGTGAGGACCTTGCCATCATCCTCAGATGCTGTGGGGCAAAGACATTCTCTCCACAACCTCAGAGCCACTGCCAACCACAATCTCCATCACCTCTGGCGTGGGACGCCAGCCCCCAGCTTCTTCCTCCATTCCCACAGCACTAGGCCAGCTTCTGCTGCCACAGTTGAGCTCTGGCCAATTTGCACTGTCCTAGCAGCCTCACCTACCCCATGGCCTCCATGGCACCCTCACTAGGACCCAGACCCTTCTCTGTATTCTCCTTGGTCCTGGGCTTGTTACAGCCAACAGGATGGGCTAAGGCAAGCACCCTCTGGCCAAGGGAACTGCCATGGGGGCCTCGTCGCTGGCCCTGTACCTGTCACCAGCACTTAGATGTAGACTTCTCACCTCTAGACTTTCAAGGAGACCCTGCAGTGAGTTTCTCTGGTTGGAAAGGGAGGGTTGGTAAAGCCTAGACCTTAAAACACAAGGTCAGGAAGGAAGGAACGACCCCTAAGGAAAAAATCCCAACCCTTTTTCTCTCAGTCATTGAAACACTAGGAGGGTGTAATAGGTTTGCAGCCTAGTTGTAGTAGGCTGTTGGTGTTCCCCCACCCCAAGATATCTATGTCCCAATCCTAGGAACCTGTGATCATTACTTTAGAGGGCAAGAGGGGCTTTGCAGATGTTAATTACATTAAGGATCTTTAGCCAGGGACATGATCCTGGATTATCCAGGTGGGCCTGATTTAATCCCAGGGATTCTTTTAAGAGCAAAGCAGGATCTGAGAGGAGGTAGGAGATACAGTGATGGTAGCAAGAAGATAGAGTAATTCCAGGAGGGGTCACAAATCAAGGAATGCAGGCTGCCTCCAGAAGCAAAGAAATGGGTTTTCCCCTCAGAACTTCAAAAAGGTGCCAGCCCTCAATGAGACTGATTTTGGAATTCAGGCCTCCAGAACTGTAAGGGAATAAATTTGTGTTGTCTTAAGCCCCTAAGTTTGTGGTATTTGTAGCAGCAAAAATGGGAAACTAATGTGGTAGTGATTTAGTCCAGTCTGCCCTGCAGGAGCAGACATCTCTGTTGTGGGCCACGGACTCACCAAAAGGGACACCCCGACAGCAGGGGGCTGCCGCAAGAGGAAACTCAAGGGAAGGCACTACTAGGCTTTGACTACAGATTTTCTCCAGGTGATTAGTCCATGTCTGGTCTGGCTCTGTCCCACTTTCCTTCTCACCAAATTGGAGTCCCTGGCTGTTTTTTAGAGGAAGAGAGTTTGTCCCCACATTCAAGCTTAATATGGTTCAGATCTGCATCCAACTCACAGAACCAGCATTCACACCTATAATCCTAGCATTTGGGAGGCCAGGGTAGGAGGACTGCTTTTTTTTTTTTTTTTTTGAGACAGAGCCTCAAGCTGTCCCCCTGGGTAGAGTGCCGTGGCATTACAGCTCACAGCAACCTCCAACTCCTGGGCTCCAGCGAGTCTCCTGCCTCTGCCTCCCAAGTAGCTGGGATCACAGGCGCCCGCCACAATGCCCGGCTATTTTTTGGTTGCAGCCGTCATTGTTGTTTGGCGGGTCCGGGCTGGGGATTTGAACCCGCCACCTTAGGTGTATGTGGCTGGCGCCTTAGCCGGTTGAGCTATAGGCACCGAGCCAGGAGGACTGCTTTTAAGGCCAGAAGTGCAAGACCAGCCTAAGCAAAAGCAAGACCCCATCTCTATAAAAATAGAAAAATTAGTCAGGAATAGTGATGTGCACCTGTAGTCCCAGCTACTGAGAAGGCTGAAGCAGGAGGATAGCACCAGCCCAGGAGTTTGAGGTTGCTGTGAGCTATGATGATAGCACTGTACTCTAGCCCAAGTGACAGTGAGATCCTGTCTCAGAATAAACAAGAGGCTGATAGAAAGAGCAGAAGGAGGTGAGAGGGGCAGAATTGCTGATCGTGGGTGGCTTCTCTCCCCGACTTCCTGCCATGTTGCTCTTGACCCTCTCCAGGTAAGCCTGCCTGCTCCAGGTCCAGGGACATGATTGAGGCTTATGCTTGAACACAGTCCCCTTGGGCCATGGCCCTAGGGGTGTGACAGGGCAGGGGGGGAGAAGCAGGGACAGGAATAATTAGGCCTCAAACTCAGGGAGTCCCCTTCTGGGACCGGCTACCCTGGACCCCCTACCTCATCCCTGCTGATCATCTGGGTTTCTCAGGCTTAGGTCCACGGGGTTCAATGTTTTATGTGGATAGTGCATGTGCGTTTCTGGGAAAGGGGTCCACAGTCAAAAAAGGTTAGGAACTCTTGCTACAGATCTGTGGGCATAGATAGGTAAGGGCCGGCCAAGGGCAACCCCCTAGGTAGGCTGCTTTGTACTTGCAGAGCTGGGGTGGACGGGCAGAACTGCAAGATTAACTGTGAGTGTTTCCAGGACAACCTGACAGAGGCACTGACTAGCTAACTCTTCACGGTCCTTGGATGAGAAGTGGGGATGCGTTTCCTACAGCACACTCCATCCTCAAAACCTTGGAGCCAGGAGAACTGGCAAATAAAGGGGGTATATTGTTGACTCCCTGGCCGTATATAGACAGTGAATGAAGGGCTGGACAGATGAAAGTGGCTTATAGGTCATTCATCAAACACTTGCCAGACAGCCAGGCAGCCAGCCAATCTGCCTTGCCCCATCTCCACCCAGGATATTTCCTTTAACCGCAATTCTGTCTGAAAAGCCAGCCAGATAAAGTCAGCCCCAGACACTGGAGTGAGTCAGAAAACTCACAGTGGGCCCTGAGCTGGCTGGACTGGCCAGGGGGCAGGAAGGAGTTCTCAGCAGAGGTTGCCCTCACAGAGTGAGTTCTGTTGCTGGCTGCTCTGGGAATTACAGAGAGGAGAAAGGAGGAAGAAGAGGGGGAAAACGTGACAGGAAGAAAATACATTTGTTCTTCTGGGGTAAGATCCTTTACTTTATACCTTACTTTTCCTGCATGTTAGAAATAATTCACTAAGCACTTGTTATGCACCAGGCAATGTTCTAGGTGGAAGTACAATAGTGAACAAAAGGGCAAACTCTCTGCCCTTGCCCACTTGGCAACAGAGATAAATGCTTAGAAATAGTTGCAGGCTGGGTGCGCAGTGGCTCATGCCTGTAATCCTAGCACTCTGGGAGGCTGAGGCAGGGGGATTGCTTAAGCTCAGGAGTTCAAGACCCCTGTCTCTATTAAAAATAGGAAAAAAAAAACCTAGCTGGACATTGTGGGGGGCAGCTATAGTCCCAGCTACCTGGGAGGCTGAGGCAAGGGGATCCAAGACTTTGAGGTTGCTGTGAGCTATCATGCCACAATATTCTACCCAGGGCATAGAGTGAGACTGTCTCAAAAGAAAGAAAAGGAAAGAAAGAAAGACTGGGCGTGATAGCTTATGCCTATAATCCTGGCACTCTGGGAGGCTGAGGCAGATGGATTGCCTGAGCTCACAGGTTCTAGACCAGCCTGAGCAACAGCAAGACTGTCTCTAAAAAAAATAGCTGGATGTTGTGGTGGGCGCCTGTAGTCCCAGCTGCTTGGAAGGCTGAGGCAGGAGAATCGCTTGAGCCCATGAGTTGGAGGTTGCTGCAAGCTATGATACCACTGCACTCTACCAAGGGTGACAAATGAGACTGTCTCAAAACAAAAAAAAAAAAGAGAGAGACAAAAGGAAATTTGTAGATCGTCACAACTGACCTGCAAGATCCCTTTTCTAGTTAAGGGAACTCAGGTTTGCCAGGGTCATCCAACCAGGCAGCTCAGATTAGAAGCTGGGTCCACCCCCAGAGTTCATTCTGTTTTCACCATGCCTGAAATTAGAGCCTTTTCACAACAGTTCCCTAAAACAGAGAGCAACACCATTAGCTGAGCTCCTACTATGTGCCAGCAAGAACCTTATGCGTGTACAAGTGTTTGGGATAAAGAAGTAAGTGGATGTTACTTATTGCTTCCCCTATTTTCTAACTGTGGGAAATTGAAGCTGAAAGAGAGAAAGTAACTTGCTTGAGGTCAAACAGTAAGTGGGGCCCAGCCAGGTTTCCAAAGTACAGTGTCCCAACTATATGTGGGACATAGTTGGTAGGAACTGACAGACCTTACCAAGTGAATGCCTCTGTCTCTGTGGCCAGTGGGTATTCTCAGTATCAAGTTCAGGGAAGATCTGGCCCTTTCCTCCGTGTGCACATGATGCTGTGTGCTCAGTGGACAAGGCATGTGCTTGATCACCTGGGGAAAGCAAGAAGATGATGTGAGGAGCTGGGGGCTGAGCAGGTGTGGAGTGGTCTTTGTAGATCTCAGTGGATGAGTAGAGAGAACAGCATAAACTGAGACTGGGGGCTGGAGAACAGGCAAGAGCTTGCTGTGGGCCCTGAACGGTATGAGGCTGGCCAGAGAGGGAGATTGGACAGGCAAGGAGGGCTTGAGGTCTGAAGATCTGCCCTGGTAGGCAGAAACCAGGTAAGGCAGATGGTTACCTCTACCTTGGGGGTCCAAAGCAGGTACCAAGAGTTCTAGCTCTGGGTGTGACCTCAGTCTGCAGAAAACCTCTACCTGACCAGGCCCACCTGCTCCCCGGACTGCTTCAATGCTGAGCCCAACCTAGGGTCAGGAAACTAGACTGACACCTGTGGTGAACCCAACAAAATCCCTGGGTCCTGTGATCTTTCTTTGGCTATGAGACCAAAGGGAGATAACAGCCCAGGCCTTGATGCTGGTCATGCAGCTAACACTGGGGCTTTGGTGCCTGCAGGGAGATATGCTCAGCTCACTGTACAGATGAGGAGACAGGCTCAGGGAGGTAAGGGCTCCAGGCCCAGAGTGTTAAACCTTGTCCTCGAGCTCACAGAGGGCAGCAGCTGCTCTGACCCACATGAGCCTGGCCACTCCCTCTGGCTGTGAAGGCCTAGGAGGATGGCTCTTGTCCATGGATGCACCTGGCAGTCAAGCACACCCACAGAGACAATGGAAGGTGAGCTGCCTCCTCAACTGGCTTGTGAGGTCTTCAACAGTGACAAGGTTCTGCCTGGAAAAGCCCTTGGAACAAAGCTGGCAGCAAATGGTGAGCAACTGGGCGGTTTGCCTCTGGATGTATCTACAGTGCCTCCAAAGGGGCCTGGCTCAGGCAGAGCTCAGTTTTGTAGGTCACTAAGGCCTGCTGGGATTCAAACCCGACAGTGTTTACGAAGTCTATGCCTTAACACCTGCATAACAACACCTCTCTAAGTTGTCCTAGCAGGCCCAGCAGACGCCCAGGCCAGTGCACTTCCGAGCACCACAGCAGTCCAGGACCAGGAAAGCTCCGGGGCCTAAGAACACCCTGGGATTCTCCAATCTGGCCCTCACAACCTTTGCCCCTCACCACACTTCCTCCTGCTTCAACCTCACCCTCTACGCAGAGCCTGAGCCATTGAACTTGGCACCACACAGAGGCCTCAATAAATCAGAGTCAGATCCTCTTACCCCTGCTTAGCCCCTCCCTCTGGCCTCATGCCATTTTTGGATCCAGCCAGCAGCTGGAAAATAAACCCTGCATCAGGGCTGAGCAACTAATGTTCATTAATCGGAAATCGTAGGGTGGTAAATTGGCATTTATTTCCCCAGATACAGGCCCCGGAGTTGATAGATGGTGCTGTTCCTGCTGTCTTGGGTGGGGGATGGGCTGGCTACCTGCCCTGCCCTCCTCAGGGCTCAATTGCAGCCAGGCTACAGTCACTGCCCATGGTGGGAGTGGGGTGAGGAGGTCACCTTTGCATTCAAGTTCCTCCCTCCCCCTCTACCAACTCTTTCTTGCCTCTTCTCTCACTGCTTCCCTTACTGATCATGGAGCCAAAACCATAGAAACCTGAGTTAACCCTCCAGCTCTGTGATCTTTGGCAAGTTACTGAATCTCTCTAAGCTTCGGTTTCTCCATCTTCATGCTCTAAAGCAGATGAGACATGAGTTCCAGGGCCAAGCACAGACCTGAAATGTGGCATGTACTCAGCACCCCCATTGTATCCCACAGGCCCCTCAGTCTTATTATGTCCTTCCCAAACCTGCTCCCCCTGGTCATCCTCACTATGACCTACCTCCACTGCCTAAGACAGAAGTCCAGGTGTCATCTGGGGCACCTCACTCCTCCTTACCCTCTGACCATCACCAAGTCCTGACGACCGTATATCCTGGGTGGTCAGCCTCTCTGTCCACATCTTCTGCCTGCTGGCAATGTCCTGGATATCTTCACTGACTCGCCTCCCTGTGTCCGTCACTCTGCTCTTCCTCCTCCACAGAAGCCTGCCTTGCCAGCCAGAAGGAGCTCCCAAAAGAGTAAATCTTATCAAGACACTCTTCCGACCAGGTGTAGTGGCTCACACTTGTAATACTAGCACTTTGGGAGGCCAAGGCAGGTGGATTGCTTAAGCTCAGGAGTTTGAGATCAGCCTGAACAAGAGTGAGACACCTGTCTCTACTAAAAATAGAAAAAATTAGCTAGGCATGGTGGCACATGCCTATAGTCCCAGCTACTTGGGAGGCTGAGGCAAGAGGATCTCTTGAGTCCAACAGATAGAGATTGCTGTGAGCTATGGTGAGGCTAGGACACTACAGAGTGAGACTCTGTCTCAAGGAAAAGACACACTTCAGTTCAAACCTCTCTGTGGCTCCTACACTGCCCTTGAGACAAAGTATAGTCTCAGTTTCAGGTGAGATTTACATACTCCTTCTTGACTGCCCCCACCTCTCTTACCTCCCTCCCTGCTGGGGCTCCCATGAGCCCTGTCCCAGTCCCTCAGCCAGTGCATCATACTCTGTCTGATGCCACATGGCCATTCTCCCATCTTTCTACCCTCTGTCTCTCCTGATGAACTCCTACTGCAGGACTTGGCTTGGGTGCTAGCTCCCTGGGAAAGTCTTTCTGGCCCTGCACACTGGGTTAGAAGATTGCCTCTGGGCTCTGCAATCCTCCCGGCTTCTCTGTCTTTCCTGCCTGAGAGAGAGCCCTGTCGCCTCGAGGCACTGAGACATGAATGCTGCAGGCCTCATCCAAAAAGGTTTGCACAAATAGTAAGGTGAGAGGACAAGAGCATCCGAACACCCCTCCAACTAAGAGGAGGTCCTTTCCGGGTCCCCAAGACTGCCCCAGGCTCAGCTCTAGATGTGGCAGGGGGCTCAGATCAGGTGGATTCTCTTGGGCCCTGGGGGGCTGTGGCCAGGGCTTACTCAACCATCAGCCCTATTGCTTGCCTCAGGCTCTACTGGCCACACAGCTCTCTCTTAACCAAATTATTACAACCATCTGCTCTTCAAGTATTTCATTAGCCCCCTGAAGCAAACCTAGGAGCCTCAGGAACCAAGCCCAAGCCAGCAGTAGGCCATCAATCTTCCTGCCAAGTTCATAGCAAAAATAATTTCTCTGCCCTAGCCCAAGCTTCATTGGCTTTCTCGCTTCCAACCTGGCACCTCCAACACAGCCTTTACTAGCAACCTGAGTCTCTCCAAGCTGCACATCTGCCTGGCCCTGTCTTCTTCTTCTGCACACCTGCCATGGCAACACCATCTGCCTGAAGGAGGAAGCTCCTGCTTTTGAGCTGGCCTAGGAGCCCCTGCAGCCTCCTGGCCCTAACCCCTGCCTGCTTCAGCTGCACTTCCCTGCCTTGGACAGGCTGTTTCACACCTGGCATGCCCTTTCCCACCTCACTCTAGGAAAATGCATGCTGAATGTCACCTCTGGGATTCCTGCTAGGATTGCCCAGAAAGGCAGGAGCTGCCAGCTCTGTGCCCTTTCAGAAGTATGTGTGTTCTATTGCAGCCCCATTAAATGGCATCGTCCTTCCTTCCTTAGGTGTCTGGCTCTCCTACTAAACCCGTGGTTCTCAACCTTCCTAATGCCGTAATGTATTTTCATTGTTACAAAGGGGTCACGACCCACAGGTTGAGAACCGCTGTACTAGACTGAAGCTCTGGAAGTCAGGAACCAGGTTGAACTCACGCATCTCTGTCTTCTCCTCAAACCTCACTTAGGGCAGACACTTAGGAAAGAAGGAAGGAAAGGGTTATGTTTTTCCCTCCCTGGCCCGTGTCCTCGTGTATCAGGTATCTTTTGCATGTCTACTGTGTGCCAGGCTGGCTGTCCTCCATTAGTCAGAGCATGTGGGCCTCTTTAGCTCCAATTGGTCAGAGACCTGCTTCAGAAGCAGGAGGCCTCAGAGCTGCAGCCAGAGGCCTGGCTGGACAACCACCCCTCCACTTGTTGAGCAGAGTTCCCAAAGCTGCACATCTGCCCGGGGCCGTCTTCTTCTTCTGTGCACCTTGATCAGTTCCACTGATCAACCCTTTCCCCTGGGCCTGGGGTTTTAGGCAGGTTCAAACTGTTCTGCTACTCCCTGGCTAGGTGACATTGTCCCCTGCCCATCCTAGATGGAGGCTGTTCTGAGTCAGGGTCACCTATGCCCATAGAGGTGACAGTGGAGGCGTAGCAGCCCAGTGGGGTGGCTGGACTGACCACAGCCTAAGGCAGCCCTGGGAGATCTTATTTCCTACTTCTACTTTTTGGACACTCACTACTTGTCATGTAGTGAAGTTGGTCAAACACTAATTTACTACCTGACGCTGGCTAAGTTACCCCACCTCCAGAGCCCCAGCTTTCTCCTCTGGAGATAGAATTAGTATTCTTTGCCTGCCAGGTTAGTGTGAGGCATAGAGGAGGTGTGAGTGACAGCCACACTGACACTATGAAGAACACATCATCACACTCCTCCCCTCCAGGAAATGCCCCTCTGCTGTGGCCTGATTCAGCCACAAGAACCTCTGCAGACAGAGGAGAAAGCGCACTCCTCAGGTTCAAGGAGGCTGAGGCTCTGGCCTGTGCTATGTCCTTGAAGCAGATGTTCCCCAACCTGGGTCTCAGCCTCCTGCTGCCACTCTGACCTCTGGTCTGTGTCAGGTGACAGACTGAGTCATAGGGACTCAGCAGCTGCCTCCTGTCAGGGAGCCTTGGCAGCCAAGGATATGCCAATGAGATGTGGAGGCTGCAAGGGATTCAGGCCTCAGCCCAGAAACTAATAAACATTATTGGCGTGTGGGGAGGGAGGAAGGTGTGTGCCTTGGAAACTATCACGACTGATTTATTGGTTAATTAGTGAATTTTTACAGCCACAGACTTCCCTAGCTGTGTGCTGGCATAGGGAGGAGGCCACTGCAAGGCCAGCTGGAGGCCGTGTGTGGCTCAGTGACTCTCCTGAGCTAAGGGCTCCAAATGGGCTGAAGGAATAATGCAAGGCGTTTGGACTCGGGGGTAGGCCCAGGACTTTATAGCCAGGGAAGCCCATCTGGACCTACTGGCCTGAGTACCAGAACAGAAGTCTCTTAAGGAAAGGGACTGGGACTCTCTGAGGTTTCCAGGGCATCTGGTCAGGTGTGGGGAGCAGTTTTGGAAAAAAAGAATCAGGAAGAACCAAGAAAAACTGTGGAAACCATGGAAACTGAGAGAAGATGCCCCAGAGGTAGAGAAAGAAGACCATTGAGTAGAAAACATTAGACAGCTTCTAAGGGACAGTGAAGTAAGAAAGAAAAAGAAAAAGAAGGCCATGGATTTGAATCCAACCTATGCCAAACACTAGCCCTGTGACTTTGGGCAAATCTCTAAACCTCTCTGAACCCTGACTTCTACATTTGTAAAATGAGGCTAATCATATCTACCTTGCAAAGCTGTTTGATAATTAAAGAACATGGCACCTATGAAACATATGCTCAATAAATGTGCTTAAAAAAACACCTGCTGTATTAGCCGCTAATGTTAAATTGCCTAGGACAAGACTTGGAACCAAGGAGGAGCTTGGAAACAGGTGGTGGAGGAAGCAGGGCCTAGAAGGTGCTGACCCTGTAGGAGGTGTGTGGAGTCTGGGGGCTGCCCTGCTGAGGGGCTGTACTGCCCCATTTTCACCACCCAGGGTGTCCTCTGGGCTGCAGCACAGCTGCTTGGACAAGTCTCTCCACTCTCTGAGCCCTCCTGGTCTTGGTCCCATCCCCTAGCCCAATGGCATACCGGCTTCGGGAAAAGGGTACAGACGGACGGGACAGACGCTAGGAGATGGCAAGGTTTATTCGGGTCCTCGGGCAAGCAGGGCTCGTCCAGCATCTCTGCCACCGGCGGGCCCCTCCCTGGAGTCCCCTCCCCAGCCACCGCCCGCCGGCAGCCTTCCGCGAGGCCGGGCGTCCCCGGGGCAGCCGGCTGGGCTGGAGGACGCGGGACGGACGCGCCGCAGAGCGCGGCGGGCTGTCGGAGGGCAGCGGGCGCGGTGTCGCCGACGGCGACCGCCGCAAGGCCACAGGCGGCGGAAGCGCGCGCGGAAGTGGCGCGAGGCGAGCGCATAAACCAGCGGGTTGAGACAGGAGTTGGCGTAGGCGAGGCAGTGCGAGGCGAGGCGGCAGGCATAGGTGGCCGGGCTGAAGGCGAAGCGGCCGTACCAAAAGCAGAGGATGAGCGCGTGGTGCGGACCCCAGCAAAGGGCGTAGAGCGCCGCCACCGCCAGCATGGCGCGCCCCGCGCGGCCCGTGGCCCGTCGCCGCGCCTCGGCCGCCGCCGCACCCGCGGGGCCCACGGCGGCCCACAGAAAGCGCAGCGTTCGCCCATAGGCCAGGCTTACCACGACCACAGGCAGCAGGTAGCCGGCGGCGAAGGTGGCCACGTCCAGGGCGCGCCGGCGTGCGTCTTCCCAGGCGGGCACGCAGAGCTCGAGCGCGCCGTAGCGCACCGTGCCGTAGTAGCTGAGGTAGGGCGCCGAGAAGAGCGCCGCCAGCAGCCACACTAGACCCACGGCAGCGCGGGCGTTGCGCGGCGTGCGCAGGGCCCGCGAGCGCAGCGGGTGCCGAACGGCCAGGTACCTGCGGGCGGGCGCTGGATCAGCGTGGCGGGCGAGCACGCTCCCGCAGGAGCCCCTGTCCACGCCCAGAGCGTGGACTTGTGGCACAGGTGGGCCTGGGTTACCGACTCTGAACAATAGGATGGGTTGTGAGCATTAAGGGTGTGACCATGCAGGGTGTTTAGATTAGTTCCTGGCACCCAGCTAGGGCTAAACCGCTGTTAGGTGTTATAAAAATTACTTTTCATAGGAATGAAATGAGACCCAGAGGGAAATGACTTGCCCAAGGTCATCAGCTAGGGCGTGAGCTTGGAATTGACCCCAAATTTCAGGCCATGGAAGCAGGCCTGTGCATAACCTGAGCCAGGTGTGGGCGGTTATAAAATATCTGATGAATGCATTTGTAGTTTCTTTGGCTGTTCATGTCATGCTTACAGAGCACCTACTATGTACAAGGCCCTGTGCTGACATTTGAGATAGATGTCCTTTGGAAACTCATCACGGGTGGGGGCAGGCCAGGACAGTCCCCTCAGGCACGCCCTGCAGGAGCCCAGAGAGCTTGCAAGCCGCCAGAGAGTTTTCCTTCCCTTCCTCTCTCCTCCCTTTTTGGTCCCGTTCTCTCCTTCCTTAGCCCAATGAGAATCTGTTCAGGTCCTCCCTCCCCAGCCCAGCCCAGGCAGACCCTAGGCACAGCGCACCTGTCCACTGAGACAGCAGCCAGAGTGAAGCTGCTGGCATACATGGTGAGGTAGATGAGCAGGTGCACAGCCTTACAGACGAGGGCCCCAAAGAGCCAGGCATCTAGTGTGTAGATGGCGGCCTGGAAGGGCACGCAGCACAAGATGAAGCAGAGGTCAGCCACGGCCAGGTTGAGGATGAACAGATCTGTGGTGCTGCCCGGTTCCTGCCAGGCACTGGAGCCAGGCTGCAGCAGCACGGCCAGCACGAGCCCATTGCCTACTGTGCCCAGCAGGAAGATTAGAGCAAAGACCACAGGCACTGCCACAGCTCCCACACTCCCTGGGCTGTCCAGCGAAATGTTCTGGGCATCAGCCATCTCCGCATCAGATGGGAACCTGGAGAAGAGAAGCTGGAGTCTTCAGGCCAGAGCCCCCAGCTCTGGTCACTTGACCCAGGGGGCAAGCTCCCCAGCCTGGGTCTGGCCAGGTGTCCTGAGCTGGAAGATCAAGGGAGGTAGGGGAGGGGAGAGCAGAGCCAAAAGTCATCACTGGGATGTACCATGTGAGCAAGCCCCTGGCACAGTCATGATGGTATGGGGGAACACTCCTCTCATCCAGGGTACGGAAGCCTGCTTAGGGATTTGGGGGAGACCTTCACCCCATAAAGCAGTAGGGTGAAGGCATGACAGATGGAGAAGGGGTATATTTTCCTTTTTTTTTTTTTTTTTTTTTGAGACAGAGTCTCACTTGTTACTCTCAGAAGCATCATAGCTCACAGCAACGTCAAATTCTCGGGTTCTGATGATACTAACTTATATCTAGAAAATCCTAAAGATTTCACCAAGAGACTCCTAAAATTGATAAATAAATTCAGGAAAGTCTCAGGTTACAAATCCATGTACACAAATCTGTAACATTCCTATACACCAACAACAATCAAGCTGAGAATCAAATCCAAAGACTCAAAACCTTTCACAATAGCTACAAAGAAAACAAAATACCTAGGACTCCATGTAACCAAGGAGATTAACTATCTCTTCATTTCTAGATTTCTGGTTTTATTCCATTGTAGTCAGAGAAAACACTTGATATAATTTCAATTTTTTTTAACTTTTTGAGACTTGTTATGTGACCTAAGATATGGTACATCCTTGAGGAAAAGTTATGTAGCTAAGGAAAAGTTATGTATTCTGCAGCTTCTGGATGAAATGTTCT